CCTGGCTAGTAGTCATCATAGGGGGCAGTGGAGAGTGGCAGTCAGAGCAGGGACTCTGAGTCAAATGGCATAGGCCTCCTAATTTTCCTCTGCTACATTCTAGCTGTATGATCCTGGGCAAGTTACTACACCTCTCTGTGCTTCTTAACGTACAATTTATTGAGAGAATGTTGTAAGGTATATCCGACATAGTAAATGGGAAGTTTAGTATATGCTTTGTATGAAATCAGATACAGAGTAAGTATTCACAGACTAAATAAATCTTTAGTCTGTGTAAAAATTAGTTATCCTTTTTGGTATAAATTTCTGATGCCCCTAACTTGCATATAAACTTCTCAAGGTCAGATACTTCACCTCTGTATCTATATCCTGGACCTTTAGAATGGGCTGAAACAAATGGTTCTCAGGTTCTCCATGGCTCCCAGGATACAGGACAAATACCCAGTGGTGATCCATGTGCCCTGAGGTCTGAGGGTGTCCAGCCTTGGTGTTGAGAGAAGATTCTCTTAGCTTTTTATCATCAAAGCCAGGAAACCAAAGCACGGAGCTGGAACATAGGGCTCTTCCTGGCGTGGCAGAGCAAGCCAAAAGCAGCCATCACTGGGCAGTGACAATCTGCCCACCAAGACAGTCCACAGCTTAGGGTGGCATGTAGCACTGGCCCTTAGGACCCATATGGGGAGTTCATTATCACCCACCGATAAGAGCCTAGCGCCTGGGCTTTGAATCAAAAGCCCGGAAGCCTGGGTATCTATTAAACCCGGATCTGCAGTGCTGCCCTGGCTGAACTTTGCTTAGTAAATACCCAGCTGATAAGAGCCCATGCCTGACTCAGCACCAGGCCTCCACACACGTGGCCTGGCCTTGAAGCTCAGCAGGCAGAGAAGGCGGCAAGAAGTGAGAAGGGGTGTATGAGAGCCCCGGGAACACATCACGTGGAGTCAGAGAACCCCAAGCTCAGACGATCTGCAGGGGCTTCCTAACCCGGCTAAGTAGTGTTACAAAAATACAGACACTCAGGCCTTGCTCCCAGAAAGTCTGATTCTGGGGATCTGACATGGGCCTGGGAATCCCAGGATTTTATAAAACTCTCTCAGGTGATTCGGGAGCTGTGCTGGGATAAGAACCACTGATAATTCATTCCCAATCTAATACAAGAGACTTCCTCCAACATCCTGATAGGAAATTAATTATCCTCTTTTTAACTTCCCCTGTCATACAAGGGTTCTCTACTGGTATTCGTTCATCTTTTCAGATATCCCTCGGAACTAAGAGAACAGCTCTGAATAAGACAGGTGTGGTCCCTGCCCACATGCACCTTGCAGTCAGCAATAAAACATTTACTGTTTGAGAATGCAGGCTGAAATGGGAGTGTACAGCAGAGAGAGCCAGCCTGTTAACTGTGCCCCAGGACCACCTGTCCATCAACACCTTTGTTCTATGCAAAAGTGACCATGGACTTGAGAGTCAAAAATACCTGTACTCAAGTCTCACACGATTTATTTAACATCCCTGGGCCTCGATTATCCTCCAAATGGGGATAATAGTTTTTGTCTCACACAGTAGTTGTGAGGATTAACTAAAATAATATGTGGGAAGCTCCCAAAGCCATGTCCAGCATTTGGTAAATTGTTCGATACATGTTATTTTCCTTCCCCTCCTTCCACCCACTTCTGCCTTCTTCTGGAGAGCTGTCGTGTCAGAAAGCTCTTCCTCCTATGAGACCTGCCTCATGGTAACAAGCACCATTTTTTCTTGCATTATCTTCTAATGAAACTCACAATTCGTAAATCATTTACAGCTTCTTACATATAAAAAGAGGATCATAATGGTATGTACCTTGTAGGGTAACTTGAGAATTACAGGTAAATTCAGGATAGTGCTTGCACCAGGTAAGCATTGAATCAATGTGAGCTGATATATTCATTAGTAGCGGTAGTAGCCCTTTCCAGCATCTGAAGACAGATACCAGTTCCCTGTAGAGTTTGAACAAATATCCCTTTCCTTCTGCTATTTCTTAATGGCATGTTTTAAATCCCTCTAACCTTCCTTCTGGGAGAATCACTCCTGCACGAATTCCACTTGCCACTTCTCTTTATTATGGGTGATGTCCAGTGCTGACCACAGACCCCAGGTGTGGCCTGACGTGTCAGAGATCAGGGGCACCTTCCCTCCCACACTCTGCTTACTCATTTTCACGGTCACCCACAGTCATACCAGCTTTGTTCATACCCATATCACTCAACCTACACTTCTCTCTAGGTGGGTTTCCAGCTATTCTTAGGCACAAAGTGCAGCCGAGGCATTGCACACTCTGGAGAAACTCAGGGCACAGGGTTATTTGGGGGTCCGAGCGCCGTGGTCACTCTTAATTCACTTGGGGATAAGAAAGTCTCAATCCCACAGGCGCACATCTCAGATCAGATTAAAGACAAGTATATGGCTAATCCCCTTCTGATTTGCATGTACATTTCTGAGGAAGGACCCAGAGCACGCCCGATCCCCTCCCTCCCAGGAAGTAGACACATCCAACACTTGGCTGCAAAGCGGCCAGCTGGGCACTTCCAGGATCTTTTCAAGCAAAGGCTTCCTGCCTCCTGTTGTTTTTGAATCAATGAACAAAGAGGGCTTTGGGGGAGGTGCTATGAGCAGAGAGTATCACCCTCTGATGTCTGGACTTCCTTGGAACCCACAGTGTCAACAGGTATGCCCTGGCACAACCACCATATGGAGAGCAGAACCTGCTGCAGTCACAAAACTCCCACAGCGCCCAAGGATCTCCCGACTGCCCACCCAGGAGTCTACCAGCAGCTGCCAAAGAATCCTATAACTAACTCCAGGTGAGTAGGCAAGAATGAGGGTGCTTCTGATAGTATCTTTGCAAAGTGACTGTGAAATATCAGAATCTGAAGCCTCAAGACAATTCCCACAGGATCTCAGTGGCCAAGTTCATTTGCAAAGTGAAAACTTGCAGTTGATACCTTTTACACCAAACTTTGTGGAACAACAATAAGCATTTCTAATTCAACAGTAAACACTGTATTCCCTACTGACACCAACATGAGAAAGGAGCCCACATACAAATGTGGAAGAGGAAAAGAGCTAGAGAAAACAAAACAGGAGTTTGAAATAATAATACACACAAGAGGAAAGTCCAATTACCCAAAGTAGAGTTGCCCCTGATCAAATTCCAGGTAGCACACTCTCAAAGCCAGAAGCTTTTTCATAATTTATCCTGTGTTCTGAAGGCCCTTTAAGTTTCCTGTGGGTATCCAGGTATCCGCCACTGAGAAAAATCTTTTCACTTAAGCATGAGCCTCTTGGCCCTCATTGGGAATCTCCTTTTTCAGGCTGAGAAGTTCAGCCACATTGCCTTTCCACCACTGGAAATCGGTCACCAGCGGAGTTTGGGGAAAAAAAAAAAAAAAAAAAAACTCATTTACAGAAAACCATGAATTCAGCCCCAATGAGGGCTTCCCTTTTCCAAAAAGAGCAACAAAAAAAATCTGAAGGTATAAAAAGTCAGCAAAGGACATTTCAGTTCCCCCTGCCACATACCCAGACATGCTCCACATCACAAAAATAAGAGTCCCGCAGCTGCTGTTCCGCTGGAGGGCACAGAGCATTACAGCTTTCAGCTGAATGGTCCCCTCAGAAAGAGAGAGCTTGGGCTGCATGTAGATGCTCGTTGTGCTTGCTTTGCACCAGGCTTAGGGAACATGTAGATTCTACTGATTTAAATAAACATGGCCCTCCAGAGCCTTGATGAAGATATAATAAATACCACTGAGGAAATATGCAAAATTGTCAGCACTTGTTTACTTAATGACCCCATGCAAACCACATTCCTGCCAAAGTGAGGAAGCTACTCAGCTAAAGAGGCAGTTCCCTCCTAATGGCTTCCAGCAGAGCCAACACCCAGGCATTGATTGTTGCAGCTTCTCCTCTGGGCAGCTTTAAGAGAGCTCTCTTCAGACAGGTGTTTCCTAGAGCAGCCTTTGAGATGCTCTCCTCCCAGCGTCCTGTTACAGATTTCCCAAGAGCCACCAGAGCCAGGCGTTAAGTTGGACACCAGTTGGGACTGCTGCTCTAAGAGCTAGGTAGGATTCAGGGTAAGCCCACATTTTCCTGCCAGGGAACCAGGAAGAGGAATCCATTCCACCCATCTTGACAGCCTAGCTCTCTGGAAATACTTACCATTTACAACTCACTAGTTGAACCTCAAGGCTACAGCTACACAAAGCCATTTTAAAAGACAAATCCTCCTTACCCAGAAGGACACGTGAAACACTATTAATCACTCCAAGTAACCACAGTAAATATTATTCTCTTTTGCTGCTGAATCTTCAGTATTGTTAAAAAAAAAAAAAAAAGACTCACTAAGGAGAAATACAAATAATTTTCTCTTTACCTGTAGCAAAACCAAAAGCAAATAATTGAACAATAGGAATTCAAGCCTAAAGCTGACAAACTTGCCCTAGCTTCTAACTGAAAACAAAGTCAGAAAAGTTGCTGACACTTTTCAACTTTAATGT